ACAACATACACAACACACAACACACAACTCACACAGCACACGCAACGCACAGAACACACAACACACAAACACACCCTAGTCCCCCTGGTCATGAAACAAGTCCTCGACGCATGGTTGCCTTCGAGCCATAACTCGGGCCGCCAGCGGCTGATCGAGACGACCCGAGCACTCCCAGAACGCCCTCGGCGAGGCGCGGCTGCTGGAGAGCATTCCGACGCTGGATGACCGCCGAGGGCCGACGAAGGACACCGAAAACTTCGAACCCCAAACCCCCGACGTCATGATTTATTCGCAACGCGGAGCCCCGGAGGTCTCGACCCGGTACCCATCGGGAATCTTCTGACCCGGGTCAATCCAGACCCGGGTCAGTCAAGCCTTGCAGAATCCTGCAAGATCCTGCGCGATCCTGCACCCAAACCCGGGTCAATGCAAAGGATCCTGCAAGATCCTGCAGGATCCTGCGCACAAGCCCGGGTCAATGCGACCCTGGCCCTGCAGGATCCTGCAAGATCGGGCGCTCTGGCTGACCCCTGTTTGCACTGACCACCGTCTCAAGGCTCCCGGTCCCCATGGGTTGGTTTCTCAGCCCGGGCAGGTCGTGACGTGACGGCCGCGGGGCCGAGCACAGGCCCCCCCCGAAGGCAGAAAGCACTCAACCAAAGCGTCCGCCGTGATGCGCTCACGAAAGGGTCTGCAGTCGAGGTGCTATCAGAAGGAGCGCTAAACGAGGAACGAAGCCCCTTCTTGGCCCCAGAAGCGCCGAGGTGCTATCAGAAGGAACGCTAAATGAGGAGCGAAGCCCCTTCCTGGCCCCAGGAGCGCCCAGGTGCACGAGGAGTGGTGGAGGAGGAGCCATGGGAGAGCTTCAGGAACAGCGAGCCCCCTCCGCACCCGAGGCGTTCCTTATTTCAGCGTCTTGGCTGTTCTGGACGCCCCCAGAGGATTCCGCGTCCACGTCCCCGCGCTCGGAGCCGGGGGCCACCGTCGAGGCCTCCGTGAACAGCGGCAAGGCCGCCAGCTCGGACCCTGGGCGCTCCGCGTCGAGGAACGCCTCGGGCAGTGCAGGGCAGGGGGGGGGGCAGAAGGAGGCAGTAGACACATAGGATAAGACATGATTCTTCAATTCGGCAGCGCAGAGGGCTGTTTCGCGATGGTTGAACTCGCTTGCCAGCGAAAAGATCCGACAAGACACCGAGCTCGACTCGAGAACGCCTCGCTGTCACGCCCTGGAGCGTGTTCACAGGATGGGTCGAACAGTCTGCCCCCCCGACAGGACTGAGAGCAGGGCTCCCGCGGTCGCCCCCTTAGTCAGGGCGCGCCCGATAGGATAAGACTTGCTATGAAAGCTCTTGGGGCACAGTCTTCGCCGATCCCTCCGAGGGTCGGGAGCTGCACGGTCGCCGGCGATCTTCGGGCATGGCCTCTGCGGGTCCCTGGTGCGCCTGCTGGCAGGCCGATCTCTTGCTTGACGTGCTCGGGAGCAGGGGGAGGAGGAGGAGGAGGAGGAGGAGGAGGAGGAGGAGGAGGAGGAGGAGGAGGAGGAGGAGGAGGAGCAGGAGCAGGAGGAGGAGGAGGAGGAGGAGGAGGAGGAGGAGCAGGAGGAGGAAGAGGGAGAGGAGGAGCAGCAGGAGGGGGGGGGGGGGGCAGGGAACGCCACCGAGAGCCAGGGCAGCAGGCCTCCCAGGGCGGCGAGAAAGGCCGCCGCCTCCCCCTCGGACTCGAGGCGCGCCACCAGGGCGGTCTGGTCGGCGGGGCCGCCGAACACCGAGCGGGGGCCCTCGTCCGCGGCGCCCTTCGTGCAAAGCCCGACGGTGTGGGGCGACCCCGACCACCTTTCGGGGATGGAGAGACCTCCCTTTAGTAAAACGTGGTTTAATGAAAACGACTTCGGGCCCAAACCTGGCGGGCGCAAGCCTGGAAAATAACGGCCGCGGCGCCCTCTCGAGAACCGAAAACGGACAATTCACTAATCGACGTGTCAGGGTAGGAGGTCTATCCACCCCCGAACCTTAGGAGAGCAAGCAATGACATGAACATGACAACTCGGAAGCCCGCGCGGATTCCTTGGATCGGAGCTGGAGCCCCCCAGGCGGCGCCTCCGGCGCCTGCGCGCTCCGCGCGCAAGGGAGGGGGTTCCACCGCTGATCCGAGAAATCCGCGCGGACCTCCGAGTTTTCATGCTCATGCCATTGGTTGTGCCCCTACATGGAGGGATGAAAAAACGACCCTACCCTGAGTTATAAGTGCGTGGTCTGTAAACCTCCTGGGAACTCCCAAAGCCTAGAGCCGCCAGGACGCGGCACATCACGCAGGGTTTACCCTTTCAGCCCACAGGAGTTTCAGCGCACAGCGCCTCGTAAACCAGGGTAGGGGCGTTTTTTTCTGCCCTTGACTACTACACCTGCGCGGCGCAAAGAAGCGGGCCATACGCGAGAAGGCTGTGCGGCCCTCCGCGCGGCCTGCGCGGGCCGACAGCGTGGCACGCCGCGTGGGAAAAAAAGGGCGCTTGAGGGGCAACGGTATGAAGGGGAAGGGACTGGCATGACGAGGGGGGACCTCGACCTGGAATCGGCGATAAATCGCCGGTGGATTGGCGATACAGTGTGACAAGAAATCTTTGGAAATGGATCCCGCGTTCGCGTCGGGCCCGCGTTCTTTGCGGCGTCTTCATCAACACTGCAATGGTACTGTTTGCCTTCGCCGTCACAAATCCTACGTGGTTGCGCCCTTGTCTGCTGCGAGCTTGCGTTCTGGCATGCTTGCGCGATTTCCTGACCAACACATGTGTTAGGGACATCGGTATTGTTAAAAGGCGTGGTTCTTGGACACAGAGTGCGACTCATGTGCCGTAAACGTGCCGTGCCGTGCCGCTCTTGGTTTTCATCGTGCACCAAATGCGCCGTGCGGTGCCGTGCCGTGGCTCGCGCTGCGCAGGGTTCGAAGTGTACGAGGCACGCAAGACAATGAGCGCTTGACAGCAAGTGAACCAGGCACGCAAGATCGTGACTGGTTGAACGAAACTTGCGACACTGTTTCGCACCAGAAAGCATTGCCATCGCGATGGGATTGCGGTCGCAGGTTGCCGAAGGTTCGTGGTAATTATTATCTGGAGCGAGACATTGCGAGTCCCGCGGATGCGCTCGGTGCTGAGGGATTCGTGGCGCTCAGAGGCAATGTGGGACGCGCGGGTGTGCTCGGCGCCGAGGGTGTCGTGGCAATGAAATCCTGACGCGCGGATGGGCTATTCGCCGCGGGTTTCGCTGGTATTTGCGACTGTGCGAGGTGTGTAAATATGCTCCGCGCCAAAGGTGTCGTGGCATTTTGAGGCCGCGTGAGGCGCACGAGTGCGCTCGGCGCCGAAGGTTCCGCGGCACCTGGGGACCGCGCGGGACTCGCGGACGTGCTCGGCGCCGAAGCTTCCGGGGCACTGCGAGATCAGTTGGGACCGCATGAAGCTGCCATCGGGATCCATCTGGTGTGCGTGTGTGATTTCGCACAAGTCATGCAGATTTTGGGACTCATCCGACACTCACTTACTTGTGGAGTCCAAAGCCCGGATAGCAGGGTGCCCTAAGGGCATGCAAAGGCCTCTCGAGGAAGCTTGATAAGCCCCTGAAAGGAGCCTCCGAAGGAGCGTCTGGAGAGCTTCTGGGCAAACGTATTGGGAAACGCTGAGAAAAGGCATCCTTGGACACGCTGCAGGGTCGGGCAGGGCGCGCCAGGGATTCCTGCCGGAAGCCGGAACGAGCTCCGGGGCTACCCTGCGGCTCCGGCTTCTTTAGCTGAAACCCTCTTAGCTCTCAGAATGCTATCCGGGAACTACAATACTACAAAGTAGGAGCAGAGGAGTTTCAAAGTGGTTGCGCTCGGAGGGGCCGCTGCCCAAGCCAAGCGAAGCGATGCAGAGGTTTGAGCAACCTTTGGCCCACAGCGGCTCGGCGAAGGCGCGCAGCGCCCGATGTGTACGCAACCACCACGCTAGGATAAGAACACACTCTCATTACCAACCATCCTGTGGTGTTGTGTCCTCATTTTGAAGAGACAGCGCCCCGCGTTCCTCTCCTCCTCCTGCTCCTCCTCCTCCTCCTCCTCCTCCTTCTCTCCTCCTTCGCCCCCTCCTCCCTCCTCCCCTCCCTGCCTCTGCCGTCCGCATATCCTCCACAGGGTGCACGCAGCCGCCACACCAGGATACGAACACACTCTCATGTCCAACTGCTTTTCGCAACCTGTAGGCCCCCGAAAACTAATCCGTGAAGTCCTAGGCAGCTTGGGGCTATCGGGCCCCATCGGCGATCAATGGACGATTCGGGATTGATGCGTCCCCTCCCTTATGCCCATCCCCCCCTCCAACGTTGGCCCTGCACGCTTACGCGCGACCTCGCGCGCGAAACTTGCGCGCGAATCTCCGACGGTGTGGGGTGGCCCCTGCCACCGGCAGACGGACAGCAAGAGCTGCGCCTCTTGGCGGCGCGCCGAGGGGGGGAATGCCAGGGGAGGGCGCGGGCCTTCTCGGACGGCGGCGGGGCTGCTGAGAAGCGCTCCTGCCTTCTGAGCGGCCGCCGGAGAGCTCCTCAGAAGGCTGGAGGCCCTCCGAGGAGCTGCCGGAGAGGCCCGGGGAAAGACGGAGGCGGGCTCCCCCAGAAGGCCAGAGGACGTCGGAGCCTTCCGAGCAGGCCCGCGCCCTCTGCCTCCCCCCTCCTGGGCGCGCCGCGGGGCCTTGAACGAGACGAGCAAGCAAGCGTAGTCCTCCTTCCCAGGCCTCCGACGACCTGGCTTTTGTTCAGTTCGGGTCGGGCGAAAGGGGGGATAGCAAAGGGGGGGTTTGAGAATCAGCTCACGTAGCTGATTTTCCCGGCGCCTCCAGGCGCCGGGAGCGGCCATGTATCGAGGAATGGGCCCCTCGGTGAGGCCGAAACCAGCTGCATGCAGCAAATTTCGTAACCCCCCCTTTCCCAATCCCCCCCTTTCGCCCGACCCGATCAGTCCTGGGGCCTTTCTTGCCTCGCCTCTGGCCCCGGGGCCCGCCGTGGAGTCTGGAGCCGCCGACCATGGGCTCCAGGGCGAGGCGCTGTCCCCATGGGGGGTGGTCGCGAACTTTCCGAATGTATTCCCTCTCCTTCTCCTCCTCCTCCTCCTCCTCCTCCTCCTCCTCCTCCTCCTCCTCCTCCTCTTCCTCTTCCTCCTCATCCTCCCCTCTTCCTCCCAAGCGTGTTTCCCTAAGGGTTTCCACAACGACTGGGGGGAACACGTAACCCAATAGCTTAGGATCGGCGTGGGTTGCTGCGGGGATTGGGGGGGTGGCAGTGGATGCCAGGGTGCATGGCGTCTGGCCCGGCCTGGCTAGAAATGCCCCGAGTGCCCCAGGGGCTAGAGCATTCTGCCAAGTAGGCGGAGCCCACGCATCCTGGGTCTTCGCCTCCCCTGATTCACTCCGGGAACTTGCAACCCATTGTTAAGCAGGGTTAGGCCAGATGCTGTGTAAGTATGTTTGTATGCATGCATGCATGTATGCATGCATGCATGCATACATGTCTGTATGTATGCACGCACGCATGCACGCATGTATGCATGTATGCATGTATGCATGTATGCCTGCATGCCTGCATGCATGCCTGTCTGTCTGTCTGTCTGTCTGTCTGTCTGTCTGCCTTTCTATCTGTCTGTCTGTCTGTCTGTCTGTACATCTGTATGCACGTATATGTATGTGTATGTGTAAGTGAATGTATACGTATGAGAAAGCGCGCCCACAGCGACCGAGCAAAGGGGGGGGGGCTTGGCTTAAGCTGCTCCCCCCCTCCCTTGAGCCGCCCTTGTTCGAAGGCCTCCCCCTCCCCCCCTTGGCCGCCCCAGAAGCTAACCCCCCCCCTCTCCCCTTTCCAAAGAGAAGGGGGTGCTTAGCTACCCCCCCTCCTTGGACCCCCCCTGTTGGAAGCTCCCCCCCTGCCCCCCCTCCTTTTTCTCAAAGGGGGGTGGGGGCTTGGAAGCTACCCCTCCCCCCTCCTCCGCTTTGGCCGCCCAGAAGCTACCCCCCCCTCTCCCTCTTTCCAAGGCGGCTTAGCTACCCCACCACCCTTGGACCCGCCCCCCCCCCCTTATCTAAAGTGGGGGGGGGGCTTGGAAGCCCCCCCCCCTCCACCGCTTTTCCCATCCAGCCCCCGGAGCCCCCGCCCTCCCTTTCGCCAACGATCCACAATCAACAATCGATGATCGAGGATGGACGATCGACGATCAACGATCGACGATCGAGGATGGACGATCGAGAGATTGGATTGCAATCCAATCGATTGCAATCCAATCGATTACAATGCAATCGATTGCAACCCAACCGATTGCAAGGCAATCGATCGCAATTCATTCCACTGCAATCCCCCTCCTCCCCTCCCTCCGCTCCCTCCGCTCCCTCCCCTCCCTTCCCTCCCTCCCCACCCTTCGTTCCCACCCCTCCGTCCCCTCCCTTTCCTCCTGTCCCTCCCTTCCGTCCTGTCTCTCCCCTGTAATCCAATCGATTGTAATCGAATCAATTGCAACCCAACCGAATGCAATCCAATCGATTGCAATCCAATCGATTGCAATCAAATCGATTGCAATCCAATCGATTACAATCGAATCGCTTGCAATCCAATGAATTGCAATCGGTTGCAACGCCACTGAACTATTCTACTCATCCTGTGGCAACGCAGTAGTATGCTAGTGCCATGAGTAAGGTCGGAAGTTCGGAAATACACAATTCTACTAGACTCGTCCCTTGACAACGCCTGGAGGGGCACAACAAATTACGATTCTACTCTACTCCTCCCTTTGCGACGCCCCCCCCCCGCACTCCCCTTGCCGCCCTCCTCACCCTCCCCCGCCTCCGTTTCTTCTCCTCCTTCCCCTCCACCTCGCTCCCCCCCCTCCCCTCACTCCACTCCCTCCCGTCCCTCCCCTCCCTCGCCTCCCTCATATCCCCACCGACATGCCCTCCCTCCACATCCCTCCCCCGCCCAAAAAAAACAACCCGTCTACCCTAAGACCCTTGCTCTAACACCTAACCCTAAACCCGAACCGCCCGCCCGCACGCCCGCGCGCCCGACCGCGCGCCCGCCCGCACGCGCGCCCGCCCGCCCGCCCGCCCGCGCGCCCGCCCACCCGCCCACGCGCCCGCCCGCCAGCCCGCCCGCGCGCCTGCCCGCCCGCCAGCCGATTCCTAGACCTGAGCCCGAACCCTAAACCCCTCAGCCTAACCCTAACACCCTGACCCTGACACCCACACCCTTTGTAAACTTAGATCCGGATCCTAACTCCTAACCCTAACCCCGAAACCCCTTTTAACCCCCTAACCCAAACCCCTAACCCTAACCCTTGATCTAACCCTCATACCTAAACCCTCAGCCCTCAGAGCTAAGAGTTTATAAACATCTAGATTCTAAAATGCTTTCAACCGCCCTTACGCCGCCCCTTCCGCGACCCCCCATTTGGGCAAGCCCCTTACGCAGATCCGTGCCCGCGGAGTGCCAGGAATGGTATTCTGGGAGCTTTTGCACGTCGCAGGGCGCACCCCTCACGCAGATCCGTGGCCCCGGAGTCCCAGGAATGGCGTCCTGGGAGCTTTTGCAAATCGCAGGGCGCACCCCTCATGCAGATCCTTGGCCTCGGCGGACGTTGCGAAGCGCGATCCCCTGGCGGACGCACCGAGCTGGGCGACGCATCACCAATGCGTCGGCAGCCTGCCGCGAAGATCTACCCGTTTCGTCGTTTCGCGTGCGCGCGCGTCGCATCGCCGTTGCATCGGCCTTCGCGCGCTGCGCTGCAGTCCCAAGGATGCTAAAGGGGGGGCCTCTCGTGGAAGCAACGAACTATCCCGCGCGCCTCGCGCCGAGCTGGGCCATGCATCGCCGAGGCATCGGCAATTTGCTGTTCAGTTGGGGTGTGGGGGGGCTACCCTTTGTGTCTCTTCGCGCGCGCGCGCGGGTCGCATCGCCCATGCGCCGGCCTTCGCGCATCGCCTCGCGGTGCCAAGGATACAAACATGGGGTCTCTTTCGCCAAGCAACGAACCACCCCGCGCACTTCGTGTCAACCTGGTCTATGCATCGCAAAAGCGTCGACAAAGGGGCTGCGGGGAGCTCGTGGCGTCGCGTCGCGCGCACGCTGCACGTCGCCCTTGCATCGGCCTTCGCGCGCCGCGCCGCCTCAAGGATGCACGTGCGGTTCTCTCTCCTCGAGGCAACGAGCTATCCTGCGCGCCCTGCGCAGCCGCTCCATGCAATCTCACCGCCGCTGGGCGGCGTCCCTGCCACGCACAGGGACTCGCGTCCATACGCGCTGTCTTCAAATCGCGTCGGCGCGCGCGCGGGCCGCATCACCGTTGCAGCGACCCTTGCGCAGCCACTCCGTGCAATCTCACAGCCGCTGGGCGGCGTCCCTGCGACGCACAGGGGCTCGCGTCGATATGCGTTGTTCTTCAAATCGCGTCGTCGCGCGCGCGGGCTGCATCGCTGTTGCAGCGACTTCCCAGAAGTCTTTGCGCGACTGTGTAGTCGTCGTCGTCGTCGTCGTCGTCGTCGTCGTCGTCGTCGTCGTCGTCGTCGTCGTCGTTTTGAGATCAATCTCGTCGTCTTCGTCATCGATGTCGTCGTCGTCGTCGTCGTCGTCGTCGTCGTCGTCGTCGTCGTCGTCGTCGTCGTCGTCGTCGTCGTTCTGAGATCAATATGTCTTGGGTCATGGGTGGGTGGGACGCGTCCAACAAGCTTCAAGTTTGGGCTAGTGGCCCCAAACCCTAAACCCTAAACCCTACACCCGAACCCTAACCCTAGCCGTTAACCCTGTCCCAACCCTTACCCAATCTCTAACCCGAAACCCTAGACCCTAACCAAAGCTCTAACCCTAAACCCGAAACCTTCAAGCCCTAACCCTAACACTACCCTAACCCGACCCCCCTTGGACCCGCCCTGCTGGAAGCTACCACCCCTTTTCCAAATGGGAGGGGGGGGGGAGCGTGGAAGCCCCCCTCCCTCCCCTCTTGTCCCATCCAGCCCCCGGAGTCTCCGCCCTCCCTTTCGCCGACGATCCAACATCAACAATCGACGATCGAGGATGGACGATCGACGATCAACGATCGACGATCAAGGATCGACGATCGAGAGATTAGATTCCAATCCAAACCGAATGCAATCCAATCGATTCCATTGCAATCGACTGCAATCCAATCGATTGCAACGCAATCGATTGCAATTCATTCCACTGCAATCCCCCTTCCCCTCCCTCCGCTCCCTCCCCTCCCTCCCCTCCCTCCCCACCCTTCGCCTTTCCCTCCCCTCCCTCCCCTCCCTCTCCTCCCTTCCCTCCCTTCCGTCCTGTCCCTCCCCTGCAATTCAATCGATTGTAATCGAATCGATTGCAATCCAACCGATTGCAATCAAATCGATTGCAATCCAATCGATTGCAATCCAATCGCTTGCAATCCAAGGGATTGCAATCGATTGCAACGCCACTGTACTAGTCTACTCATCCCGTGGCAACGCCTAGGGGGCGAAAACACAGTAGTATGCTAGACTCGTGCCATGAGCAAGGTCGGGAGTTCGGAAATACACACTTCTACTAGACTCGTCCCTTGGCAACGCCTGGAGGGGCACAGCAAAGTCGATTCTATTCTACTCCTCCCTTTACGACGCCCTCCCCACACTCCCCTCGCTACCCTCCTCACCCTTCCCCGCATCCGTTTCTTATCCTCCGTCCCCTCCACCTCCCTCCACCTCCCTCCACAATTACACAATATGATACTCTCCCACTTCCCCTGATGGCGTCCCGAAGATATCCGCCCCCCCCCCGCGTACTATTTTTTACACACAGGATTCCCGGGAAACGGGTTTTCGCCTGCGTTTTTTTTCCTCCAAAATGCTGCTCTCGCTGAGGCGTCGGCCTCATTTCTGCTCCCGAATCGTTCCGAATCGTGCTCCCGCTGCAGCGTGGGCCTCATTTTCGGATCGGTGTTTGGCCTCCGTCGTTCAGGATGGCGTTCT